TTGTGGCGTATGGCGGCCGGAAGGGCAACTAGGGAGGTCCTTTTGAGCGAAGCCGGTTTTGAGAATGTTTTCCGGACCCAGAATTGGGTCCGTCGGAGGAAGTTGTTTTGTAGATGATTTGGTTTCTTGTTGGGGCAAGCGGGGTGCATATCGGTTGCTGCTTGAACCCAGTTGAAGGTAGCTTTTTATTATTTCGTTTCGTCTGGTGGCTTGATTGTTTGCTGCTAAAAGAAGGCGCATCAGCCTTTTGCAGCCTTAGATTGCTTGAAGTGTTTCTTGCTGTTGCGGAGTTTGTGGGTTTTCGCGAAGGTGGCCGGCTTCCATTTGAATGATTGTATTGAATACTTTACTGCCCCTTGTTGGCCCCCTTGCCCCTCTAGACTCCTACCGAAGTTTGCAGCCCAGAAGAACATGAATCATGATCTTTTCAGTCAATCCCGTTATTAATTAATAGTATTAATTTAAAACGGGATGGAGTAAGAATCTGCTTAGGGAAAGATGTGGGAAGGTGAAATATTGAAGGCTTTCTTACTCCGCCATCGTTTCGATATCGTGTCCATTACATTGGGTAATTGAATTACAACATTCCACGGAGTAGCGGAGTAGCGCGGAGTAGCGACGGATTGGTGAATGTTGCCTGGGTGGTGCTGCATTGCAATCGCCGCATTGGAGCTAGGGAACGGAGACAGCTGATACCACATGTGCGCTTTCAGGTTCCATTTCTGGGGCCGGAAAGTCAATTGAAATCAGGCTTCGCATGTGCGGGCCTCCTCTGTTCCAACTCTATATGCTTGTTGCTTAACTAAACGCAGTTGTCATTTTTTTGTTCGTTGCAGGGGTCGGCCTTTGCTGTTAATTTTGCGATTTTGCGGTCTCATTTTTGGTACCGCCAGACGGTCCCAAAAATGAGACCGTGAAAGTGCTTTTCTTTTGTTTTTTTACTAAGCGGTGCATGCGGTCCCAAAAATGGGACCGCCAGGCGGTCCCATTTTTGGGACCGTGTTTAGGTTCATTTTTTGAAGTTTGTTGTACAGTATCAAGGTTGCAGAAGCGCAACGATTTGGTTTCAATGAAGCTTTGTGGCGTATGGCGGCCGGAAGGGCAACTAGGGAGGTCCTTTTGAGCGAAGCCGGTTTTGAGAAGGTTTTCCGGACCCAGAATTGGGTCCGTCGGAGGAAGCTGTTTTGTAGATGATTTGGTTTCTTGTTGGGGCAAGCGGGGTGCATATCAGTTGCTGCTTGAACCCAGTTGAAGGTAGCTTTTTATTATTTCGTTTCGTCTGGTGGCTTGATTGTTTGCTGCTAAAAGAAGGCGCATCAGCCTTTTGCAGCCTTAGGTGATTGCTTGAAGTGTTTCTTGCTGTTGCGGAGTTTGTGGGTTTTCGCGAAGGTGGCCGGCTTCCATTTGAATGATTGTATTGAATACTTTACTGCCCCTTGTTGGCCCCCCTTGCCCTTCTAGCCAGACGGTCCCAAAAATGAGACCGTGAAAGTGCTTTTCTTTTGTTTTTTTACTAAGCGGTGCATGCGGTCCCAAAAATGGGACCGCCAGGCGGTCCCATTTTTGGGACCGTGTTTAGGTTCATTTTTTGAAGTTTGTTGTACAGTATCAAGGTTGCAGAAGCGCAACGATTTGGTTTCAATGAAGCTTTGTGGTGTATGGCGGCCGGAAGGGCAACTAGGGAGGTCCTTTTGAGCGAAGCCGGTTTTGAGAAGGTTTTCCGGACCCAGAATTGGGTCCGTCGGAGGAAGCTGTTTTGTAGATGATTTTGTTTCTTGTTGGGGCAAGCGGGGTGCATATCGGTTGCTGCTTGAACCCAGTTGAAGGTAGCTTTTTATTATTTCGTTTCGTCTGGTGGCTTGATTGTTTGCTGCTAAAAGAAGGCGCATCAGCCTTTTGCAGCCTTAGGTGATTGCTTGAAGTGTTTCTTGCTGTTGCGGAGTTTGTTGGTTTTCGCGCAGGTGGCCGGCTTCCATTTGAATGATTGTATTGAATACTTTACTGCCCCTTGTGGGCCCCCCTTGCCCCTCTAGACTCCTACCGAAGTTTTCAGCCCAGAAAGAACATGAATTATGATCTTTTCAGTCAATCCCGTTATTAATTAATAGTATTAATTTAAAACGGGATAGAGTAAGAATCTGCTTAGGAAAGATGTGGGAAGGTGAAGTATTGAAGGCTCTCTTACTCCGCCATCGTTTCGATATCGTGTCAATTACATTGGGTAATTGAATTAAGACATACCACGGAGTAGCGGAGTAGCCGGAGTAGCGACGGATTGGGGAATGTTGCCTGGGTGGTGCTGCATTGCAATCGCCGCATTGGAGCTAGGGAACGGAGACAGCTGATGCCACATGTGCGCTTTCAGGTTCCATTTCTGGGGCCGGAAAGTCAATTGAAATCAGGCTTCGCATGTGCGGGCCTCCTCTGTTCCAACTCTATATGCTTGTTGCTTAACTAAACGCAGCTGTCATTTTTTGTTCGTTGCACGGGTCGGCCTTTGCTATTTTGCGATTTTGCGGTCTCATTTTTGGTACCGCCAGACGGTCCCAAAAATGGGACCGTGAAAGTGCTTTTCTTTTGTTCTTTTACTAAGCAGTGCATGCGGTCCCAAAAATGGGACCGCCAGGCGGTCCCAAAAATGGGACCGTGTTTAAGTTCATTTTTTGAAGTTTTTGTATCAAGGTTGCAGAAGCGCAACGTTTTGGTTTCAATGAAGCTTTGTGGCTTATGGCGGCCGGAAGGGCAACTAGGGAGGCCCTTTTGAGCGAAGCCAGTTTTGAGAATGTTTTCCGGACCCAGAATTGGGCCCGTCGGAGGAAGCTGTTTTGTAGATGATTTTGTTTCTTGTAGGGGCAAGCGGGGTGCATATCGGTTGCTGCTTGAACCCAGTTGAAGGTAGCTTTTTATTATTTCGTTTCGTCTGGTGGCTTGATTGTTTGCTGCTAAAAGAAGGTGCATCAGCCTTTTGCAGCCTTATAGGTGATTGCTTGAAGTGTTTCTTGCTGTTGCGGAGTTTGTGGGTTTTCGCGCAGGTGGCCGGCTTCCATTTGAATGATTGTATTGAATACTTTACTGCCCTTTGTGGGCCCCCCTTGCCCCTCTAGACTCCTACTGAAGTTTTCAGCCCAGAAAGAACATGAATTATGATCTTTTCAGTCAATCCCGTTATTAATTAATAGTATTAATTTAAAACGGGATGGAGTAAGAATCTGCTTAGGGATAGATGTGGGAAGGTGAAGTATTGAAGGCTCTCTTACGCCGCCATCGTTTCGATATCGTGTCAATTACATTGGGTAATTGAATTAAGACATACCACGGAGTAGCGGAGTAGCCGGAGTAGCGACGGATTGGTGAATGTTGCCTGGGTGGTGCTGCATTGCAATCGCCGCATTGGAGCTAGGGAACGGAGACAGCTGATGCCACATGTGCGCTTTCAGGTTCCATTTCTGGGGCCGGAAAGTCAATTGAAATCAGGCTTCGCATGTGCGGGCCTCCTCTGTATGTCGGTCCATATGGCGAACTCACCACAGTTGTCTTTGTCCACATTTCGGCTGACACTGGTCTTCACAAGGTGCACCCGACATGGGCTGGGACGTACATCCTTGATGCTTGTGTATTCCTCTTTCCGACCATCAACTTTGCACTGATTGACAGCGATTGTGTGCCTGTGACCCTCTTTGAGATACGAGAACTTTGGCTAGCGAGCACTGATCCAACCCTCCCAGCTACGCCAAGCAAAGTTGCAAAAAGCAAACTGCCAAGTCCCATTGCATCATCGCACAAACGTGCGCGCTCTGTGGACACGGGCAGGGATATGCAGCAACCTAGCCCACCATCGAAGCTGTCCAGATCGCATAGTGCTGACCATATTGCTGTCCGAACAGCTGAATGAACCCCTTCGTCAAGATCAATGAAGAGCAAGTGGCCATAGGAGTGTTTAGCACGTCCACTCCATGTGGGGTGCCCTTCTATCAGGACAATCTGATAGTTGAATTCTGTCAGAGAGTCAGGTTTCCACACACAAAGCCGATCCTCCAGGCAGTGTGCCAGTGTGACTGTGCGTTCGCCCGTGGCAAGTCTCATCATCTCTGGTGGCGTCGCAATCGCAGCAACTTTGGTGAGGCCAGGGAACACAGCAAACGCACTCAGGATCTCATGGACAGCAAGGCCCGTATAGGACCCTGCCGAGAAACCGTGCACGTTGACATCCCTGAAACCGCTTGTAGCCGCTGTGGTGACTAACTGTGGAAAGCATGACTTCAGAAATAGATGTTTGCCTTGCGGATGGTAGCAACGAAAGATTTGCATAATTGCTGTTGTCCAGGTCGGGTGTGGTGGCCTGGCATGGACTGGCCGGATATTCGCAGCCTCAATTAGGCGAATCGCTCGCGTGAGCAGCAGTTGTTGATCAGCGAACTGTCCAGGGAGAAAATCTCGCCAAGCTGTCCATCCTTCTACCGTGGAGAGTAGCTGACAGATCACATATTCATGCACAGTTTTGGTGAGGCCCAACTGGGTGATATGTTCTTCCCAGTCATCTGTCATCGCAAGCGATGGGCCATACACCTTGGTTTGCGCAAGATTTTTGCAGAAAAATATCATATTCATGCTCGCCACTAAGTAGGCCACCCCCTAGTCCACTGCAATGCACTTCAAGGGGTCGGTCTTGCATCGGGGCGTCATCTTGCTTCAGCGAGGGAAAAGACCCAGGAGGCCCACTCTGCAGAGCCTGTGAGGGCTACGGGCAGCGCATCTGCGGGTTGGCCCCCACTGTAGTGTTGTTTGGACACTTCCCCAATATCTATGGCCTGCTCGTTGACGGTGGCTTCCCACTTACGGTGCTGCAACCGCTTCTTCGCAAAACCATGCTTTGTTAGTGCAAAGTATCGGCGAAGTGTTGACTCAAAGGTTGACATACCTATCATATGACATAGGGTTTGCGATGTTCTTCGAAGCTATTTGCCTTTGTGCACATGTGTCTTGTGTGGCTGCTTTTGTCGATGTCAAGCCCAGGCCAATTTCCGTATGCATTCGTGGCAGCCATGGCCGCTGTGGGTGGTGAGCTGAAAAGTGTCGTTCAGCACCTGCGAGCTTTGCAGAGAAGATTGTGCAGACGCAAAAGACTTGAGCTTGCCAAGGAGGAAGGAACTAGCGACCCCCGAGAGCATGTGATGCTCAAAGTACAGCCTACTGCAACATCTGTTTTGGCTGTTTTCGAGTTGAGCGGCAGAAATTCTGCTTGTGCTGCACGCTTTTTGGCGGCCAAGAACAAGTTGAATGTGGCAGAGGCTTCCTTGTCAAATTCTTTAGCTTCTGCAATTGAAGATGCCTATTTGCAGGTGCCTTTCGAAACCATTGTGGGCCTCTTAGATAGTCCCACATGCCCACGCCACCGTCGTGACTTGTTTGTGGCGGGTCGCTTTATAGTTGAAACGCAGCTATACACATGGCTGCTTGCCCAAAACAAGAAAGGGGTTGCACCTGGGAGGCAACAATTAGTAGCAGAAGCGTGCAGGCTGACTCCAAAGGATTTGCCGCATGATGTGGCAGCCATGCTGGAGCAGTACTGGAAAGGCAATGGACGCGCAAGGTCACAAAGAAAGTGGTTGCGCCGCTTTCGTTTTGAACATGGTCTACAGTTGGGCCGCGTGCGTGTGCAGGCAGTGATGCCCCTAGCAGACATGCAGCGCAAGGCGGGAGAAAGTCATTGTTTTGGATGGTTGAAATGAGAAAAGATTCGATATGGATTGTTTTTGTCAAAAAGGTATTTTTGGTCGATTTCTGGGGGCCACTTTTGGACCCTCCTGGAGGGACCGTTTTTGGGCCCTCCCTTGCTTGTGTTTAATAGAGGGTCAATTTCATGACCTCCCAGAAGGGACCATTTTTTGACCCTACAGTCGGCAGGCGAAAGCTTTTTGGAGATGGAGCAACTACGTTCATGCACAATCAAGCAGCTCGGGTCCTCTTCTCTTGCTGAACATGGACGAAACTTCCATTGCTTTGAAGCCAACCGCGAAGGTTGGCACTGCCGCCCGGGGCTTCACAGGGCACAAGGCTGTAGATGCCGCATCTTTGGCTGAGACGCGGGCTCGGTTCACATTGATGTGCACGATTTGCAATGACACGTCTGTGCAGCCATTCCTTCCGCAGGTTCTCCTCACGAACGGTCGGTTTCTTGGAAAGAAGGCCAAAGTGGAGAAACTCAGGGGCAATCTGTCCGTTTGGACCCAGAAAAGCGCTTGGTCATGCCATGCTACACTGAGACGATATATTTCTTTGCTTGGATTCAAGCTCAAGGCTGCAGCTCCGGGCCGTGACTATGCACTACTTCTAGATTGCGCGCCTTCTCACTTGCACGGTTCCATTAAAAGGCAAGCGAAGCTCAACCATATTCGTTTGGTCTACATTGCAGCTGGGCTCACACGTTGCCTTCAACCAGCAGACACAGATCTATTTTCGCGGCTGAAGGAGAAAATCGCAGAGCTATATCGTTCACAGCAATCAATGAGTGTGGACGGAAAGATTTCGCCTGCCCAATGGCTGGAGATCTTGGGTTCATCTTTACAATCAATTCTACCAGCTGTGAAATGGAGCCGGGCCTTCGCCAAGGTTGGTGCTTCGAATTGGCAAAAGGATGTGCGCCAATCTTTACTCTTTGAATTCGGTTGGCCAAGTGTACCGACCATCCCACCAGGGCCTCCGACTGAGTCGGAGGCCCGCGACATTTTCCCTAAGGGAAGAAGTAAGCTGGATGTTCTGTCCTATGTGCATTGGAAGCAGCCAGCGGCCAAAGGTCATGTTCGGCTGTACAAAGGCAAACCCATTAGAACATTGGATTAAACTGCTGTGGAAACACCTTTTGGAACTGTGCTGCAACCGCTTCTTCGCAAAACCATGCTTTGTTAGTGCAAAGTATCGGCGAAGTGTTGACTCAAAGGTTGACATACCTATCATATGACATAGGGTTTGCGATGTTCTTCGAAGCTATTTGCCTTTGTGCACATGTGTCTTGTGTGGCTGCTTTTGTCGATGTCAAGCCCAGGCCAATTTCCGTATGCATTCGTGGCAGCCATGGCCGCTGTGGGTGGTGAGCTGAAAAGTGTCGTTCAGCACCTGCGAGCTTTGCAGAGAAGATTGTGCAGACGCAAAAGACTTGAGCTTGCCAAGGAGGAAGGAACTAGCGACCCCCGAGAGCATGTGATGCTCAAAGTACAGCCTACTGCAACATCTGTTTTGGCTGTTTTCGAGTTGAGCGGCAGAAATTCTGCTTGTGCTGCACGCTTTTTGGCGGCCAAGAACAAGTTGAATGTGGCAGAGGCTTCCTTGTCAAATTCTTTAGCTTCTGCAATTGAAGATGCCTATTTGCAGGTGCCTTTCGAAACCATTGTGGGCCTCTTAGATAGTCCCACATGCCCACGCCACCGTCGTGACTTGTTTGCGGCGGGTCGCTTTATAGTTGAAACGCAGCTATACACATGGCTGCTTGCCCAAAACAAGAAAGGGGTTGCACCTGGGAGGCAACAATTAGTAGCAGAAGCGTGCAGGCTGACTCCAAAGGATTTGCCGCATGATGTGGCAGCCATGCTGGAGCAGTACTGGAAAAGCAATGGACGCGCAAGGTCACAAAGAAAGTGGTTGCGCCGCTTTCGTTTTGAACATGGTCTACAGTTGGGCCGCGTGCGTGTGCAGGCAGTGATGCCTCTAGCAGACATGCAGCGCAAGGCGGGAGAAAGTCATTGTTTTGGATGGTTGAAATGAGAAAAGATTCGATATGGATTGTTTTTGTCAAAAAGGTATTTTTGGTCGATTTCTGGGGGCCACTTTTGGACCCTCCTGGAGGGACCGTTTTTGGGCCTCCCTTGCTTGTGTTTAATAGAGGGTCAATTTCATGATCTCCCAGAAGGGACCATTTTTTGACCCTACAGTCGGCAGGCGAAAGCTTTTTGGAGATGGAGCAACTACGTTCATGCACAATCAAGCAGCTCGGGTCCTCTTCTCTTGCTGAACATGGACGAAACTTCCATTGCTTTGAAGCCAACCGCGAAGGTTGGCACTGCCGCCCGGGGCTTCACAGGGCACAAGGCTGTAGATGCCGCATCTTTGGCTGAGACGCGGGGTCGGTTCACATTGATGTGCACGATTTGCAATGACACGTCTGTGCAGCCATTCCTTCCGCAGGTTCTCCTCACGAACGGTCGGTTTCTTGGAAAGAAGGCCAAAGTGGAGAAACTCAGGGGCAATCTGTCCGTTTGGACCCAGAAGCGCTTGGTCATGCCATGCTACACTGAGACGATATATTTCTTTGCTTGGATTCAAGCTCAAGGCTGCAGCTCCGGGCCGTGACTATGCACTACTTCTAGATTGCGCGCCTTCTCACTTGCACGGTTCCATTAAAAGGCAAGCGAAGCTCAACCATATTCGTTTGGTCTACATTGCAGCTGGGCTCACACGTTGCCTTCAACCAGCAGACACAGATCTATTTTCGCGGCTGAAGGAGAAAATCGCAGAGCTATATCGTTCACAGCAATCAATGAGTGTGGACGGAAAGATTTCGCCTGCCCAATGGCTGGAGATCTTGGGTTCATCTTTACAATCAATTCTACCAGCTGTGAAATGGAGCCGGGCCTTCGCCAAGGTTGGTGCTTCGAATTGGCAAAAGGATGTGTGCCAATCTTTACTCTTTGAATTCGGTTGGCCAAGTGTACCGACCATCTCACCAGGGCCTCCGACTGAGTCGGAGGCCCGCGACATTTTCCCTAAGGGAAGAAGTAAGCTGGATGTTCTGTCCTATGTGCATTGGAAGCAGCCAGCGGCCAAAGGTCATGTTCGGCTGTACAAAGGCAAACCCATTAGAACATTGGATTAAACTGCTGTGGAAACACCTTTTGGAACGGTGCTGCAACCGCTTCTTCGCAAAACCATGCTTTGTTAGTGCAAAGTATCGGCGAAGTGTTGACTCAAAGGTTGACATACCTATCATATGACATAGGGTTTGCGATGTTCTTCGAAGCTATTTGCCTTTGTGCACATGTGTCTTGTGTGGCTGCTTTTGTCGATGTCAAGCCCAGGCCAATTTCCGTATGCATTCGTGGCAGCCATGGCCGCTGTGGGTGGTGAGCTGAAAAGTGTCGTTCAGCACCTGCGAGCTTTGCAGAGAAGATTGTGCAGACGCAAAAGACTTGAGCTTGCCAAGGAGGAAGGAACTAGCGACCCCCGAGAGCATGTGATGCTCAAAGTACAGCCTACTGCAACATCTGTTTTGGCTGTTTTCGAGTTGAGCGGCAGAAATTCTGCTTGTGCTGCACGCTTTTTGGCGGCCAAGAACAAGTTGAATGTGGCAGAGGCTTCCTTGTCAAATTCTTTAGCTTCTGCAATTGAAGATGCCTATTTGCAGGTGCCTTTCGAAACCATTGTGGGCCTCTTAGATAGTCCCACATGCCCACGCCACCGTCGTGACTTGTTTGTGGCGGGTCGCTTTATAGTTGAAACGCAGCTATACACATGGCTGCTTGCCCAAAACAAGAAAGGGGTTGCACCTGGGAGGCAACAATTAGTAGCAGAAGCGTGCAGGCTGACTCCAAAGGATTTGCCGCATGATGTGGCAGCCATGCTGGAGCAGTACTGGAAAAGCAATGGACGCGCAAGGTCACAAAGAAAGTGGTTGCGCCGCTTTCGTGTTGAACATGGTCTACAGTTGGGCCGCGTGCGTGTGCAGGCAGTGATGCCTCTAGCAGACATGCAGCGCAAGGCGGGAGAAAGTCATTGTTTTGGATGGTTGAAATGAGAAAAGATTCGATATGGATTGTTTTTGTCAAAAAGGTATTTTTGGTCGATTTCTGGGGGCCACTTTTGGACCCTCCTGGAGGGACCGTTTTTGGGCCCTCCCTTGCTTGTGTTTAATAGAGGGTCAATTTCATGATCTCCCAGAAGGGACCATTTTTGACCCTACAGTCGGCAGGCGAAAGCTTTTTGGAGATGGAGCAACTACGTTCATGCACAATCAAGCAGCTCGGGTCCTCTTCTCTTGCTGAACATGGACGAAACTTCCATTGCTTTGAAGCCAACCGCGAAGGTTGGCACTGCCGCCCGGGGCTTCACAGGGCACAAGGCTGTAGATGCCGCATCTTTGGCTGAGACGCGGGCTCGGTTCACATTGATGTGCACGATTTGCAATGACACGTCTGTGCAGCCATTCCTTCCGCAGGTTCTCCTCACGAACGGTCGGTTTCTTGGAAAGAAGGCCAAAGTGGAGAAACTCAGGGGCAATCTGTCCGTTTGGACCCAGAAAAGCGCTTGGTCATGCCATGCTACACTGAGACGATATATTTCTTTGCTTGGATTCAAGCTCAAGGCTGCAGCTCCGGGCCGTGACTATGCACTACTTCTAGATTGCGCGCCTTCTCACTTGCACGGTTCCATTAAAAGGCAAGCGAAGCTCAACCATATTCGTTTGGTCTACATTGCAGCTGGGCTCACACGTTGCCTTCAACCAGCAGACACAGATCTATTTTCGCGGCTGAAGGAGAAAATCGCAGAGCTATATCGTTCACAGCAATCAATGAGTGTGGACGGAAAGATTTCGCCTGCCCAATGGCTGGAGATCTTGGGTTCATCTTTACAATCAATTCTACCAGCTGTGAAATGGAGCCGGGCCTTCGCCAAGGTTGGTGCTTCGAATTGGCAAAAGGATGTGTGCCAATCTTTACTCTTTGAATTCGGTTGGCCAAGTGTCCCGACCATCCCACCAGGGCCTCCGACTGAGTCGGAGGCCCGCGACATTTTCCCTAAGGGAAGAAGTAAGCTGGATGTTCTGTCCTATGTGCATTGGAAGCAGCCAGCGGCCAAAGGTCATGTTCGGCTGTACAAAGGCAAACCCATTAGAACATTGGATTAAACTGAGTGGAAACACCTTTTGGAACTGGGGGGGCCTCCATTTGTGTCTCCGGTTTTGCGTGGGTTTTGTAGGCCCAAAAACAGACACTCAGTCTTGCCCATAAATCAACTTCCATTCTTGCTAATGTTTCACCCCTGGTTTCCTACACCTATGGATTCGCTTCCCATTTTGTTGTCCATGGGTTTTTCCCTCCTTTAAAATCTTTGGTTTCCCATTTGCAATCGTCATTGCAGGCGTTACTTCATGAGGAACTCAGTGAAGTCAAGAGGCGCCGCACGGAACTGAAAGCGGAGCTGCGCGCGGCCTCCAAAGAGGACAGGAAACTCCGCAAGCGTCGTGCAAACCTTGTCAAGGCCTGCAATTCTTGCATTCGGGCATGCAGTTCTTGCATGTCGCCTGGTTGTGAAGCAGTGCGCTTTCAGAATGTGGGGGCTGTTGAGCGCAGGCAGCTAAGAACCTTTCACGCGAAGACATAGAGAAGCTGTTGGAGAACCAGGGTGCCCGGCCGTGTGTTTTGTTCCCCACTAGTGGTCCTTTGGTGGTATGAGCATAGCCACAGTCCGGGCAACCTTGGTGTTGTAATTTTTGCAAGTGCATATGCTTTGAAATCCTTTTTTCAAAGGGTTTGGGTTTGAATCGCTGTGGCAGCAAAACAGTTTTACTGAATCTTGCTGCGTTTGCCAGCGCAGGTGGGCCAGCAGAACCTGCTGCAGGTGGTGCTGCTGGTGGATGACTGCTACCAGCTGTGACATGGAGCTAACCGCCTTCAAATCCGCAAAAGGATGTGAGCTAATCGCAACGGCTTTTGGTTGGCCAAGTGTACCAGGCATCTCACTGCCGCCGCTGACTGAGTCGGAGGGCCGCAACATTTTCCCTAAGGGAAGAAGTAAGCTGGATGTGGCAAAACATTTTGCAAGTGTGCTGCAACCGGTTCTAAGCCGTGCCACAACATGCATGAGCCAAGCGGGTAACATGTTGTTACTTGCTGCCTTGCGATTGTGCCTGAAAGAGCCCCCTTACCATTTCCACAACTAAAAGGGTGAACACGTGCTGGATACCATCCCCTGTTACGGGGAGAATTCATGCAACAAAAACGGATTCCTGCACTGGTTTTTGTAGTAAGAGGGCATGCGCTGCATCTTGTAGCGGCTTGTCATTTTTTCGAAAAAAGCACTTGAAAATCGGAAATGCATTTTGTAGTGATTTTTGTTAGGATGCTTTGACAGAATGCACGCAGGGATCCTGAAATGCTTTCTGTTCAAGACACCGCGGCTGAAATGCTTGCAACAGAGCAACTGTGGCACATTGTGGCATTCAAACCAACGTACGTCAAAAATGATCGGATTATTTAAATACTTGAAAATTGTAGCTGAAATGAGAAAGTCCTGGAGCTAGACCTTGGATCATTTTTCAACAGCTTCGCTTTGATGTTCATTTTTGACTAGGTTTTCATGGTGTTTTGACTGGGTTGTCACCGGGTTGTCCTAATGCTGCAGTGAACGGGCAGACCTTGCATTTCTAGTAGGATGTGGCCATGAACTGCATGGACGGAGCGTCTTGCTTGGCCAGCGGTACTCACTTGCTACTAAGCGGCAAGGGGTTGCCATACCACCACCAAATTACCGAATCTCTTATTTGACAACGGCTTCATGGTATTGAATTCCAGCCGACTGTTCAGCGATGCGGCCAGCAGGAAATATTAGGCAACATGTCATTTGCATGTTTCAGATGTTTCAGATTCTGTTCCAGTGTTGGATTCATAAGTTGAGGCATGGGCGGCTAGCGGCTAGCATGGTCTCATGATGTAAGGTACTCTCCAGGAGATGTTGGTTTAAAGATCTACGTCTCTGGAATCAATGTGGTTCAACCGAAAGCCACGCTTCCAAGCATTGCAGAGTTCCTTGGAAAATATCTGTTTACGGCAAGTTTGAAACATCCACTTCACAGCTGGACATGGTTCGATGTTGTTGCTGGTTTAAGGTTCGTGCTGACATGCCCGAGCTGCTCAAAGGTCAGTTGCTCAAGATGATTTGGAAGAGATTTGGTCGGTGATTTGTCTTTGTCTAATTTGTGTGCTAAAAGATGGTGACCATGACAAAAATCGATCGTACTGTGCACCTGTAATTCAATGATTGGAGTGATTTGAGACATTCAAGTTTGCTGTGGGGGTGTCCCAAGGACACTACTGTATTTTTGGCCAGCAGCTGCACTGAGACAGAGGCGCATTTGTGGTTACGTACAAAGAACAAGACATCCATGGCATTACTTTGGTCCATCTAAGTTTTTGTTGACATGCTGCATTACTACACCTTGTGTGTAACCCAGTCGTTTCATGACAATAATATCATTCCTATATACTGTATACATTCCTATGATATGCAGAGTGCTTGTTTTCGGGCGCTGGGAGCAAATGAGGGTAAACTTAAGAAGAAATATATGGTGACCGATCTAAAGGTCCTCGTAAGGAGTTTTAATTGCGAAAGCCGTGCATGTTATGTTGGAAACCCTCGCGAAAGTTCGAGTTCGCGAAAGTAAAATTTTATTTCGCGAAAGTTTCGCGAAAGTTGGGTATTATAATAAATATGTAAAGGGCTGCCACCCACTGCCGCCCGGGGTCCGGCAGGAGAAGGGCACCAGAGAATGCGAGTAGCAGTAGCCAAGTTTCCAAAAGTGAGGCTTTGCGAGAGCCAAGCACCAAGGCCCCTGGTCTTCGCTTTTCCTTCAGTGCACCCCCTGCTGATGGCCGGGGTCTGTGAATAGGGATATTTTCGCGAAAGGTCCGCGAAAGTTATGCGAAAGAGCGGGCGAAAGTCAAAGTGCATGTTGAAGGGGGTGGGCCAGTAAACTTTGCAAAAAAAGTCTGTCCTGAGAAGGGATTCCGTGATGCTAGCTGCATGTTTAAAAGGCTACCAAGAAGTGATCTGTGATTCTCTGGCGTAATTTGGCAGGTGGTGAACGAATCTTCATAAGAGGTGTTGTTGGCCAACATGGCCCCGCGAAAGATAAACATGGAGTTCGCGAAAGTTTCGCGAAAGTAAAATTTTTATTCGCGAAGAATGGCCGTTCCGGGATAAAGGAATTTTGATCAAC